AAAAAAAAAAAGGAAATGAGCTGTAAAAAAAATCATAACCCTTCATTTCATAATCATACCATTTTCATATCATTCACTCATCACTACACTTCTACTGAGTATATATAATTTATCACATAGAAGCAAAATTTCTAAGCCTCTTCCCTACCTTAGGCTTTTAGTCAAAATGAATGCAAACAATCACGTGGGATTCAGCCAAGCAGTGACGTTAAATTCTGCTCTGTCAGAGAGAGCATCTGTCAAGCCCACATTTAAACTGCTGCCTGCCTGTGCAGCAGCTGAGGAACCGTGGATTTCATATTATATAGACTAAAACCCCAGGAAAACTGCTCAAAAAATCTTTCTGCAGCTGCCAGGCAACAACGAAAGAAGAGAGGTAAATTCTTTTCTATTCCAATACAACCAAAGCCCTAGACTGTGGCTCTGCCGCTTTACATTGCAGCTCAGTGTTATTACTAGAAATATGGATACTGGGAAAAGAACACAGCACTGCATTGTCCAGCCAGGAAAACAGCAGATGTAAAAAGCTTCAATGCATCAACTGTCGGGAAGAGTCAACAGTGCTCCAAATACAACGGACAACTACCACTCTTTTGTTTAAAGGAAGAAAGAGAAAATGAAAGAAAAGGAAAATCTCAGAAGACTAGGACCCATATGAACAAGGAGGGTAACTCAAAGAAAGGCAGACAGATGGACACTTTGGATACTGTGAAAAGCAATCGCAGGAGGCAGACTGTTGGGGGATGTGCGCATGTTCGATAGCATCTTTTTTGCTGAAGTGATGGCGTGCCAAAAGTATTTTCAGTGGGCATAATCCTCTCCACATAAATGGCCTGACCAAGGAAGGTATGTTGATATCTTGTGTATGATATTCGTTTAAATGTGTTAGCTTTATATAGCCTGGAGGCACTAATACTTGATAAACAAGTTCATACAGTTCACTGCCCTTGAAACTATGAAAGGGTTTCTAAATACATGATTTTAAATTTTGTTATGTTTTAAAAACATCTATCACTGCTTTATTCAACTAAATATGTAGCTTGGAGTAATTCTGGATTAGAGACAGAGGAAAAAGCAAATAGTAACTAGATGTACTTAAAGGATTCTCTGAGAAAATAAACTTAAAAAAAGATTTGTAGCCCTTTCCAGAAAACATAACGATCCTCTACCAAATTAGGTCAGATTGAATCCTTGTCTAGTAAATTAAAGAGCACTCTTTAAAATGGCTATCAGTAGACAATGCAGTGAAATTACATTAAATAGTATCAAATATGATCTTAATATTATGAGCTTTTAAAACAAATCTTAACAGCCTATAGTAATGAAATCTTCCCTCCAATACCTATTCCCCAAATAAATATAATGAACATAAATAATCTAAAAGTATATCAACAAAATTTTAACTATTACTGAGCTAGAAGATCCTAAAAGGAAAACATTAGTATAGGATCACATAAGGTTGTATGAGTTTATTCACAGCATAACACCACAGTAGAGTTACATGTTATTACAGTATCATAACTTTAAACAAAGAGATATTTTAAAAATTGGTAAAAATTGCCCTATTTGAAATACTAAGCTTTTATTTTCAGCAACAGACTATTCTAAATGATCAAATCTAAAATTGTTCCCGGAGATCATTTTTAGAGTGAAATTCAAAAGCATAACCTAAAAATACTTTGGTATGAAAATACCCACTGAGAGCAATACAAGGTCAAAAAATAAATACAAGTGTAGATGGTGTGCTTCTAGGTTGCATTAATCTATAGTAATGAATTCCTGCCACTGTGTGTATACAGGACACAGATAAACCAAATGAACTATTTTAGCAACAATCCTCATCAGAATGGCAATTCAGAGCTCAAGAACTCAAAGATATTCCTAAAATTTTACAAACCTATCAGGATCTTCATTTTTTCCTCAGCCTCCTACAACTCACTGGACTATCGCTTTAAGCGTAAAAGGCAAATATTTTTAAGATACATAAGCACTGCATTCCAGAATTAAGATTAAATAAGCCCAACATCAATTCTCAATCATAAACATGAATTTTTATCCTGATAGGATTTTTTAAAAACCAGACAATATTAAACAAAATCGTGTGATTACAAAAACCAAGTCCCTGTGGTACCTTTATCAATGTGAAGTCACCAAACCAAAGGGTAGAAGTTTTTCTGTTAAAGAACCACTTAAATCTAGAGTTTTCTAAAAAACTAAATCAAATGATAAAAACTATGCATGTGTGTGTGTGGTGAGCCACATTTTACAGTGTTATTATTCTCCTGAACTTTGAAAATACCATTAAAACGTAAGTACAACAGATAAACCTATTTCCATTCTGAAAACATAAAATGCAAAACTATTTTGTATGCTAAGATATTTGGCTTTCTTAACTTGCTCTCACTGCTCAAAAATTAAGGCAAGCATTAAAGTGGGGAGTAATTTTGCCATTTAATAAAAGGAGAAATATTTACTTCAATTTTATTTTCTTTTTAACAGAAAAATTATGACAAATATCTGAAGAACTTTCAACAATTAATTTTAAAGCTACAGACATGAGTTTCATTTATCAATGGGAGATTAACAAACAGGTAGACATGGATTTCAAGTTTCTACAGATGAATATTTACAAACATACAACTATCATCAAATTTAAATTAAGGTGTATCTCCATTACACAGTGTTATAAAATTATATTAAGCCCAAAATTATGTACTTATGCTACATTACAATGTAATCATTTACTCTCTTCTGTAACAAAGAAGCACTTTGGAGATCACTTTGGGTATATTGTTTTCATGAAAATAATGTAACTTATTACTATAATAGTTACCTTGATTCACTTCTTCAGTCTTTTACTCAAACATTCATTCAAATATCTGACCTTATGTTTATTGCTTCTTAAACCATAAATTTACACTTGTAAAAGATGTAAGTAATTAGACAGCAACCAGATTCTAAATATTTTATCAACAGAAAGCTGCTACATTATGTTTGGAATAGTGATACAGATTTTTTAAAAAACTTAAAAAGTAACTTTTGTTCCTTCTAAATTCATTCTCTCTCTCTCTCTCTCTCTCTCTCTCCCACCCTCCCTTCTTCTCCCCCAACCTCGCTCCCTCTCATAATCTACCAGTCTCTTTACAGGAGGGGTTGTTAGTATATACCAAATATATCATTTTCTAATAAAAGCTTAAAAGCAGTTTCCTGGTCTAAACAGAATGTCAACTATTGATACACAGGCAGGATAATATTGAGCTCCTAAGTCAGAAATGTTCAGCACCAATATTTCCAACTTATCTCATGGCAGAACTATGATACAGAGAATAGCTTTGGTCTTTATTATAGTAAGTTTAAAATTCATGTAAGTAGACTATAGTAGCAAACTAGATTTTTTTCAAGTTCCAATCTTTAAAAATCACTATATATATATATATATATATATATATACGTATCAAAGTGATTCAATAATTTTTTATGTTTGAGATAAATTGCTAAAATTGCTAAAAGCACTATTTAATGTCAGAAACTATAAATTGTCAAATGCTGGTGCCTGTACTGTTACACTTTCGAAATTCAAATTCCCACCTACTTGCTCCTCCTAGTGGCTGCTACTAGAATAATACTTTCATTCACATACATCTAACAATTTCAATCAATATTTTCAAGGTACCTAGCACTATGTATGTGAAATTTACTCTACAATTATGCAACTGTAAGAAGATTTACATGTGAATGCTATTTTTCCTAAAAAATAAATTTCATGTCAAGGTTGAGTGAATTTTTAATTCACCACGCGTTACTCAATATCACAGGCTAAACAAACACATGCAATTACACATATAAGTTGAAATAAACAAATGTTCCCCTATTAAAATCTTACTAGTTTTCCTTTGCTTGAAGAATGAAGTTTCAGTACAGAATTGAAAAATCAAAACTATACATTTATTAGCCTTCCTTTCCCCAAAATTAGTTTCTCTTCCTTTTGAAATTCAAACTACAGTTAAGTCTATGCCTCTACCCCTTCTTCTTGGTCCAGAAAATCTAAGAACAGGAAAACAACTAAGAACAAACACGAATAAGTCTGTGTTATACACTGAAAAACCATTTTTAAACTAGCCAGTTTCTGACATGTGGCATCAAAAACCTCCCCCGCTGACACTTCAAACTTGTTTAAATCTGGGGCTCTCAGTGGTGGGCTGCTAAAACACCTACAAATTTAATGCACTCTGCATGCAAATTCCAGCGCAACTCCAGAATGCTTTAAAATATAATAGGTGAAAATTAAGATTTTACATAGTTGGATATGACAGTAGCTACTAACTATATTTTGTAAGAAGACCAGAAAAACTGTTCCAAATGTATGTGATAGTCCTTTGCCAAAACCATAGATAAAGATAATTACTTACTATATTTTAAAATTGATCTTAAGTCTACATAACGACAGTAATCTTCTGATACTTCTGAATATTTCCTATTTGAAGTGGAAGGTTAAAATTAGAAAAAGAGCACTTGCAAATGTTAAACATTTATTACAGTTTAAAAATCCTACACTGAAGTTACTGGACCCTGAAAATTAGTTTTGACAGGTGCATCTTCTCATTGACTTTCTCAACGCAGCAGGGGCCAATGGAAACATGCCAAGCAGTGAACTGTGACTAACAGAACTCTGCCATAGTCAACCTTGCCCCGTCTGTCCCACAACTGATACATGACCATTTTACAAAGAAGGCCACTGACCGGGCACCATACCATCGATGGTGTGTCAAATCAATTTTAATTAATGCCAATAAATTTCCCATCTGCTCTCAAGGCCTTCTTACACAGCCTTTGTCAGGATTCTAGTAACATTTTTCTCTTCTACATATATACAACTTTTAAATCTTCAATTTCGATCATTAAACTACAAATGACCAAAGTTGCTGAGACAAATAAGTGGAAAAAACTGATCCACTACCATCTTTAAAGTGCTCATGTGCCACACACAAAAAAAGTATTTTTAAAGAAACTAATTCTGTTCTCAGATATGTTGTTCTATTGCCACAAAAATAAAATAAATTATAAGCTTTGTTTCTGAGTTATCCTATTTTCACAGCTTAAGAAATTCCTATTTTCCTTAATTTCATTAGTTTTCAGAGTCCCTTTCAGACAATTTTGTGAGATTTGGCATTTTGTAAGCCTTTATGCTTCATCTTTGTAGAATGACTGCGAGGGACACAACGTGACTGAATTAGAAAAAGATGATCAAAGAATAGTATTGAATCAGGAGAAGAAAACAGTATTTTGGACCACCAATCTCATATAGCATTACCGGATATTTACAACATGCTTCAGTGGAGGAGAAGACACTGCTGCTTTGCAAAGATGACCTGGAATGCTAAGAGGTCCCTGTTCCGTACCCATCTTATTGGGGTACTGTCTCTAGTGTTTCTTTTTGCTATGTTTTTGTTTTTCAATCATCATGACTGGCTGCCAGGTAGAGCTGGATTCAAAGAAAACCCTGTGACATATACTTTCCGAGGATTTCGTTCTACAAAAAGTGAGACAAACCACAGCTCCTTTCGGAACATTTGGAAAGAAACAGTTCCTCAGACTCTGAGGCCTCAAACAGCAACTAACTCCAACAACACAGACCTATCACCACAAGGCGTTACAGGGCTGGAGAATACACTTGGTGCCAATGGAAGTATTTACAGTGAAAAGGGGACTAGACATCCAAATTCTTACCACTTCAAATATATTATCAATGAACCTGAAAAATGCCAGGAGAAAAGTCCTTTTTTAATACTACTAATTGCTGCAGAACCTGGACAAATAGAAGCTAGAAGGGCGATTCGACAAACTTGGGGCAACGAAAGCTTAGCACCTGGTATCCAAATCACACGGATCTTTTTGCTGGGCCTAAGTATTAAGATAAATGGCTACCTTCAACACGCAATCCTGGAAGAGAGCAAACAGTACCATGATATCATTCAACAGGAATACCTAGATACATACTATAATTTGACTATTAAAACACTAATGGGCATGAACTGGGTGGCAACATACTGCCCACACATTCCATATGTTATGAAAACTGACAGTGACATGTTTGTCAACACTGAATATTTAATACATAAGTTACTGAAGCCAGACCTGCCTCCTAGACATAACTATTTTACTGGGTACCTAATGAGAGGATATGCACCCAATCGAAACAAAGACAGCAAGTGGTACATGCCACCAGACCTCTACCCAAGTGAGCGTTACCCTGTCTTCTGTTCTGGAACTGGTTATGTTTTCTCTGGAGATCTGGCAGAAAAGATATTCAAAGTTTCCTTAGGTATCCGTCGTTTGCACTTGGAGGATGTGTATGTAGGAATCTGTCTTGCCAAGTTGAGAATTGATCCTGTGCCCCCTCCCAATGAGTTTGTGTTCAATCACTGGCGAGTTTCTTATTCAAGCTGTAAATACAGCCACCTAATTACCTCTCATCAGTTCCAGCCTAGTGAGCTGATAAAATACTGGAACCATTTACAACAAAATAAGCACAATGCCTGTGCCAACGCAGCAAAGGAAAAGGCAGGCAGGTATCGTCACCGTAAACTACACTAGGAAAGACTATTTTTGTTTAAGTGTGCAATCTGTAAATTGCTCAAAGCATGTATAGTTAAAACCAATTACATCCATAGGACAAGTTTTAGTTAAAACTCTTCACATAAAGGAATTCGAAAAATATTTTTTTAATTTCTGAAGAAAGTAATTCTTAAAACTGCATTACATGACAAAAAGGTATCCAAACTGTATTAAAAGCTGTGTAAGGGACTGTGTGTACTAACATGCAATAACAAGCATGCATACATCAATGGTTCAAGTCTTATGTTCAGGGCCAATGAACTGTCTGTACACATTTACCACATAAATTTTAATTTAAGAAATGAAGACGGGCAAAAGACTTCAGTTTAGATTTATTTTTCATTTCAACACATAATTCAATGTAAATAAAGTATTATTATCAACTTTAAGGAAACTTTGTAACTGTGCAAAGGACAAATTTTATGACCTGACTATTATAGGGTTCTAAAAACTTACTCTCCACGCATTAAGATTTTGGTTGCGTTACTCCATAAACTCATTCATGACACTCAGATGCTTCATCTCATCTAAGTATTTACTTTTTAAAAGTAATTGATACTTGATTTTAATTTTTTATTAATACATATTGGGGAAAATTATTTTGACATGTGGTAAAATATGAGAAAAATTATTGTGTCTCAGGCTCAAGTTTTTATTTTAAAAGTTATTAAATGTTTCAAAATAATAATATATTTTGCTTCCTCATTGGTGTTAAGGACCAAATTAGTATTTCAATGAGTTTTAGATCAAATACTGCACTCTTCAAGGGTGTTACCATTTAACGTCAACCCCATATGACTTCGAGTATACCTGTGAAAATAGGTCAGGCTCCTCTCACAAGCAAAAGAAATCACTTAAAGGCACAAAGATGTACTGTTGAAAAGAGATGCACAATACCATAGCAGTTTCATTCAATACATTTTTAAAGATGCATGGCTGCCAAACTGCAACACACAGGAAGTTTATTTCCTGGTAGTAGGTGCACACATGCCATACTTAAATCATTTCATAGCACCTATTTCTCTGAGTGCCACATTTACAAATCTACAGTTTTTAATTTGGTAGATGACAAATATTCTATATCACCAACTAAATTCCTTTTTGGGAAGGACTGAGGAAAAAGCTACAAATATTTGATGAACACTCCATTCTAGAATGAACAATGTATACAATGCACTTTTATCAAGTTTTTAATAAAAAATGTAAACAAACAAAAAAAAAGCCTTCTCTGAGTGTCATGAAGCAAATATTCTCACAATAATTTTGTTTGGCTCCATCAGGCATTTAATTATATCAAGAAATACTAACTTACCACTAACTTTAATAGTGTTTTTATTCCATAATGTAAATCTATCATTCTTAATTATATGAAGAAGCTTATCTCAATTCTACTAGTTTCAAATCACCAAAGATGTTTGTGTTTATTATTTAATATTCTGAACTCTATTTAGAACCAATTTATCTCCAATTTTCAAAACAACAGCATCTATTCTGTATCAAGTAATTCTAAAAAGTGAGTTCTGAAACATACCCAAGCTCTGGGTTCAAGCCTATTTTTCCCTTGATTTATTGTATGTATTATAGAATAAGCAACATTACTAAGCAAAACTCAAACATAACCCCCAATCAGATCAGTACTTGATGAAATACAAAAAGAATCTTCCTATTCATGTGGAATGATTCCTTCTGCTTTCTAACTCAGTTTAAAACGGAAGGAGCACGTGTGTGTATGCACAGGTGTGTAAACAGAAACAGAACCCAAGTTCTGTACAAGTTATGGTTATTCTAGTACAGATCTTTTAAAAATAGTATTTTTCTTCTGGGAAAATCCAAGTTCAAAATGGCCTTTGAAAAAAGAATACTTAACAGACACTTAAATTCCTACCTCAGGTATCAACTCTAAATCATCTCCATAATTCTAATAATTCTGTCTTGAAAATGGTAATACAATGGCATTCAGGATCTTCAAAAGGGAATTAGACCAGTGAAATTCCTTAGTAATGTTGAGAACCCCTATTTGGCCTGGCATGGCGGCACACTCAGAAGACTGAGGAGATTCACCAAGCTCAAGGCCAGCCTGGGCTAAATACTGAGACTCTGCCTCACAAACAAGCAAAGAAAAAA